TTTGTTAATCCATTTCACGTCGTGCCATAGGCGAGTTTTATTCTAGAACTATGATATCTTTTAAAATGAAAATTCTATTATGAATTTTAGTCCATCCCATGTTGTTCTGATTTTTCATTAAAGTAAATTCATTTCGAGAATGGGATGGTTTAGTATGAATTCTCTTTGTGAATTCTACAGATTCACCTTCGATAGCAATAGTATTCTGTTTCCGTAATCCCTGTTGTCGATTGATCTCCATGTCAAAACTTCATCGTCATTTGATGTTTTCGTTTAGGGAATTGGGTTGGTTAAATCTTATTCGTCTGTGAAATTCTCATGGGGGAGTGCATTGTTTTACTGGAGTTGTGGTGATGGAATTCTTCTGCTAAGTCTTAGCAGTATGGATTTATTCTGAGGAGTTTGTGTTTGATTCCTTATTCATGGCCACATGTAAGTAGTGAAATATAAGGGTCCCTTATGTGCAAAGTTGCGTTCATTTCTTTTGCATGTGTTTGCTGCTGTCTGGACTATTAATTATGAATATATGAGGAAGTGTTTTGGTGCATATTGTATTTGGCCCGTGTTAGCTGACTGATAAGTGAGCAAAGTACGTGTATATAAGACTTAGCGTACAAAGCATTTCAGATGAGAAAGGGATCATAATTTATATAAATTTTAACCCAAGGTCTTGTTCTCTTAGATTTTCAAATTTTCTGTTTAGTTCCAACAAAAATCTTGAGGATGGGGGTTCGTTGGTTACATTCGTTTGGTGATTATTCAAGATAACGGTGACGGATTTTGTTCTGAGTAGTTCATGTTTAATTTTCCTTTTTTCATCATTATTCTTCACGTGTAGGTGGTGTATTCATTTTCTTATCTTTCTTTCTTTGTCCTCTCCCCCCACCCCTGGCCGGGGGGGGGGGGGCAAAGGGAATACATTCCTTAAGAAAGATTAAAACCAGTACATTATAGGCAAAGTAAACATTATCCAAAACTACAAAAAAGAGATAACAAGCAACATCTGATCTATAGCCTCCTCACACGAGCACAATGCTAGAACTAAAGGGATTGTAGGTTTTACAAGCCAACCATAAAGGGCAAGCCCAACAACAGCTCCTTAGCACTTTCAAATGTAGCTAGGTTGCTAAGCTGACAAACATCTTTGGAAGGAAAAATGCCCTCAAATAAGAAGTTCCACCAAACATAGCACTGCTAAGAATATTTATAAGATGTTTGCTATAAGAGAAAACCAACAGTTTCATGCCATCTAGATCGTCAATTGATTAGTTTCTCATTTAGCGGCTCATTCTGTGAAAAGCTGTGTTGGTTTCTTTCGCATGTGTTTGCAGCTGTTTGGACTATTAAGAATATATGCGAATGTGGTTGGGTCACTCAAATCCAATTTGCTTTTTCTATGTTAGTCAACTGATAAAGAATGTCCTAAAAAAAGTTGGTGTGTGGATGGCTTACTGTCCTATGCATTTTAGATGATAAAGGAACATAATTTTACTCTGTTTTTTCTTCAAATCTTTATCATGGACTCATTATATACTATATAACTCTGTTGTTCTTGTGCTAGTTCATTGCATGAATTAGAGCCCATAATTGTGTAGTATTTTGTTCAACATTTTAGCTTAGGTCTACCCCCAACTTTGCAAACCCAGTTTCTATTGAATGTCTTGTTATCAAACTTCAGTTGTTTGGATTTTCTAAAATAAGTTTTCCCAACGTCATTTTCTGCAGCTAATATCCAATTTTTTTGGGGGGTTGGGGGGGGGGGGGGCGGTGTTGTTGTTTGCAAGCTAACCATAAAGCGCACAGGCCCAACAGCAACTCCTTTGCAATTTCGAGAGTGGCTAGGTTGTGAAGCTGAGAAACTCCTTTGGAAGGAGAAATGTCCTCAAATAAGAAGTTCCACCAAACACAGCACTGATGAGGATATTCAAAAGACAAAACCAACACCTTCTTGTCCTCCAGAATCTAGATCTTCAATCAACCAGTTTCTGATTTAATGGGTCATTCTGTGAAAAGCTTTGTTAATTTATTTTGCATGTGTTTGCAGCTGTTTGGACTTTTAAGAATACATGAGAATTTGGTTTGGGTTGCTCAAAATCCCCTTGTACTTGGCCCGTGTTAGTCAACTGATAAATAATCTAGTCAGAAAAAGTCAGTGCATACAATGCTTATTGGAAAATATATTTGAGAGGAGAAAGAAATTATAATTCCTCTGATTTACTCTATTTACTCTTCAAATCCCTAACATGGCCTCTTTGTACGATGTGTATGTCTTTGTTATTCTTGCTAATTCATTACATGAATTAGTGCCCATGATTGTGTAGTATTATGCAAGATATGGTTGAGCATTTTAGTTTTTCTGATTGAGAAATAGATAAGTCCTATGAGGAAGAGATCCCAAATTGATTGGCAGTGCTGCGCATTGAAACAGGACTATGTGGTTTTTCTTTATTTTTATTTTTAATCGTTTTTTGTGTGATCTTTTTTTAGGGGCCATTTTGTTTGTGATTTGAGGGTATTATGATTAACCTTACCAGTGTACTGCTTTTAAGGTAAGTCCAAGTGTCCCATCTCCGGTAGTCATTAGAGCAAGGACCGGCGATGCTATGATTGGACGCAGAGCAAGATCATTCCATTTCACATCCTGGTAGGAACTGTGGTTCCTATTTTCTTTGGATCCATGGTGTTAATTCCTGGGATTACATATTTCTTTTTGTTTTATTTTTTTTTTAAACGTGGTTTCTATTTAATGGTGTACATACTTAGAGTTGACGAGTATTTAAGTTAAAGTTGGAATTGTCGGTTGAATACCTTGACGTGAATTTCTGGCTTACCCAGGTTGCATACTTTAGTATGCTTTAAGATAGTGTAGACTTAGAATTTTTGCAAACGTAGATGGAAAGGATGGATTTAAATGCTTCTTGTATTCTCTCTGTCCTTTAGGAGGCACAAGGAATATACTATCCACCAATAGTAGAGACTAATCTCATGTTGTAGTGAGAGCAAAAAGCATCTGCCAATTATATTACTTAATTATATCATATGTTATACAATCTCTATAAAATACTTCCGTATTTTATCATGTAATATATCAATTTATAAGTAAGACAAATTAGTTAAAAGAAAAACGATAAATATAAATACTTTAAAGTAATTTAGTAACTTTTTTAATATTTTTAAATTAGTCGATCTTATATCAAGTGCTAAAGATAGTACTTTTATTCTTTAGTTTGGTGCAGTTGGACCATCCTGAACTTGCGCCGAAGACATCCACTGTGAAGTAAATCATCCCACCTGTATGGTCTATTTAGGGGGTGTTTGGCAATATAAAAACCATGGTTTTAGAAGTACTTTTCCGCAAAACGAGACAAATTCCTCCATATATTTACTTTGTAAACTGTAAAAGCATTTCTGAAACCATGGTTTGGTTTCTATCCAAACATCCCCTTATCTTCAGAGATTCGATAAATTTTTTCTCAAGTTGCCGACTACTCGTTTATGAATTTCTGTTCAGAAAAATTGTCGAATTAAAAAATTTTAGTAAATGTTTTAAGTGAGCATGTGTTACACTTCCTTCTGAGTGAAGGTTGCCATTTCAATCCTATTTATAACTTTAGGCCGCTGAAATCTGCCCAAAATATATTTATATGAAAAAGACATCATGTGAAAGCATTGAGACACAAATTTTCTTTGTCCCCCTAACGTCGGATGGCCTATCTCACTTTTGCAAGTTTTCACCACATGACTTCACTTTGCTTGACTATGGACTCACCATGACCTTATATCTTCTTTGCTTTGATAGTATTATACATACATACAGGCATTGTCAAATTCTGAGTTGGCATAATTGCGTACGTGAATATTTTCCAATTGTCAAGCAACGTGGCAATGAGTCAACAAGTCATCAAAAAATTTAATCAATTATTATGCAGCTGGGAACTTTTGTTTCCTGTAAAAAGTAGCATGGCCATGTGATTGTTGAGATTTAATTTGAAATAAGCTGGTTATCTTTTGTGCATTCATAATTTAATAGCTTAACCGCAATCTTAAATTGAGAATGTTTTAATTTTATATAAATTTATATTTATATTTTAAATTGACTGATATATATATATATATGTAAGTTTTTATATGTAAGTAGTTTTCTAAAATCAAACATAATGCAGAAAGAGTCTTTTTAAATTTTAGAGAGACCAAATTGCATTTAGTTATAATTTGTTAAAAAAATTGAACATTATTTTTTAGATGAATTTTAAGTTATATTTTTTGCCGACGAATAAGATATCTTGTTTATCTCATAAAAATAATATGTCTTATTATAGATTTTATATTTTACAATAATCAATGGGAATGAGACAATTCATTGATATAACATCGTCATTTTTTTTGCCAATTTATATAACATGACCAGTCATTATCCTACTTTATTAGTTTATTTCATCTTAACAAAGTAGTAACTACTTTAATTATTATGGGTTTAGAATTTGAGAAAATAAAAGGAAACCTAGGTATATAAGAGGCTAAAATTGATCTTTCCCTTTGTGCACTTTATTCTTACCTTCCTCTGAGAAGAAAGAGCCATGTTAGCTCGTTAAGATATCAAAATTATCTTTAATAAATGTCATTAGTTCGAACCATTTGTTCAAATAGTTAAAAAGTTTTATAATTTGTTCGGGATATAGGATAAAAATATTATTACTTTAAATAAAACCTGTTTTATATTAAGGACATGTTAGAAGTACTTGTAATAACGATCACAAAAAAAATATAAAGTTTGACATGGTATTATATAAAGAGCCATTTGATTTGAAACAAAAAATAAAAGTAGTCTGGATTTAATTAAGGAAAATGGATAGAAAGGGCTCATATTCATAATTAGAACCAAATCAGACGCAAAAGGGGCTACATGATTTTTACCGAAAGTAATTTAAATCCTTCAGAAGACGCTATGAACTATCAATGATTATGTGTATTAATCACCGCAAGAAAATCAGAACTCCAATTCAAAAATGAGGTTGGGGTCGTCGTCGTGGAAGACATGGCCCAGCTGGAGGAGGAGATGATGAACTAGAGCTGTCTGGTTGATAGAATTGAAGAATGGTATACACAGTCTGAACAATAGTCAACACAAACAGAAATATTGCAGCAGCAAGAGACACAATCGCCCATGGATTTCTGAAGTAAGTTTCAATGAGATTAGCTCTCCACTTATTCCATGGCTTCTTGCAATATCTACACACACTCACCTGCACTATATCCAAACCTCCTCCCTGACGATCAACAGAAACATCCCTAGACAGTGAGTTAAAAAGCTTGGCCACAGCTTTATCACTTCCTAAAGCATTCTGCACAATCCCTTTTTGCTCCAAAATCACAACGTCAATCTCCTTGTCGATGATGTTATCCATGAAGAAGACAAATGAAGAAACCTCGCTGCCTGCTCCTACATGCACGCGTTCGAATGCTATGAGGTTCAACAAGGTTGTCTCTGTGCAGTCATCGAGTATTATTGAAGGGATTCTGAGGATTCCGCCATTGAAGGAGACATCTTTGAGGCTGTGGATTCTGCTTGGCTTGAAGGTGATGCCAGCTTCTTGAAGCTCTCTTGCAGAGGGAATGATGATTTCGTCGTCTTCTTTGTGTTTGCTTGATTTGATTGGTTTGGGAATGATTGTGGGGGTGAGTGGGTTCATGTTGAAGAAGGGATTTTCTGTAGAGATCTAAGATGTGTAAGGATTTGCCAAAGCTTGTGAAGATTGGAGTTGTGCTGGGCCAAAAGAATTTGAGGATTAGCTTGTTCAACAACTCTGGATCCTATAATATAGTAATGGAACAAAATGAAAATGAAAGAGATTTGTGAATGTATAAATCAGTTTCTTCATTTTAACAGAAAGTGCTAAGATAATTATTTTAAAAGACTATTCGAGTCATGTGAATAACTTCTCAATTGAGGATTGCTCTAAAGAACTGATTTTTGAGACCAAACTACTTGACAATGAAGATGAGAATCTTTTGGCATAAATAAGAAAAAGCTTGTATCGCTCAATCTCATCCTTTCTCTCTTTGTTGTTTTCTGTTTTGGGTCACAATTCCTCAAACCAATCTATTTGAAATCATTTATAGCTTTAAAACAAAATTTGGATCTCTCAATCTCAATTATCTTATTGACTACTCGTCAAAACATAAATTTAAAGAACTTGTTGAGAAATACAATTTTTTTTTTCCGGGACCAGCGAAACAAAAATTTTTCAGAGGTTAGCGTTGACCGTCATTGTAAACTGTTGAAGCCAACAAAATTTGAAGACTTTTCAATCCCAAAACCAAAATTTAATTTCTAAGATTCTATTCATTTATCAATCAAACTGATTGTGGCAGCACCGACTTTGAATTGTCTTTCTTTGTTTTTTTTTTAATCAATCAAACTAGAGTTCATGCATTGATAGTCTATTTTTGTCTCTCTCTCTTTCTATATAGATATATATATATATATATATTTAAAAACACATATACAAATAATGCTTTTAATTTTTTAGAATCAATGAGGAATTTCTTTACATTTATAAATTTGGCGTAGATGACACCTTTGGTTTTAATTAATGCATTATCTTTTATTAATATTGAAATATCATATTTCATCTATCACACAAACTTCATAAATTTTACCCACTCATATCCTAAATATAATATTCATTTTTTAGTGTAAACTATACTACAAATGAGTTTTACATTTAGAACTGAAGGAGTGCTTTCTAATTTTAATGAAACCTTTATACACTTTTTATATATAAATTCCCAGCTAACATTTTAAATTAGTTGTCCTCAAACTGAGTGTTTGAGTTACATCATTGACCACTTCAACATACACTCGATCATTGTTGCTCAAGTATATTGTAAGGAATTACAATATATGTTGAAGATCAATATTATGGGAGAATTACAATCAGGTTTCAAGAAAGGGATTTATATTAACAACTAAAAAGAATTTAATAATAAGTTTCAAAATAGGGAAAGATATAATATGTTCATATTAGTTACTTGTTATTAGGACTTCTTAATAATTATTTTCTTTTCTTAAGACTTCATTAAAATTCTCCCTACTATTATATACTTTTGTATTAATTAGAAACTCAATGTTGCTTGAGAACTTGCAGGGTAGCCCTTTGATGATGTACCACATGAGCTTCTATGTGTGTGTGTGTTAATTTTTAATTAAGAAGCCCCATTGGAATGATATTTCTGGCCTACATGGGTGTTTTCGGTTGCTATAAAGAGGAATTCTTCAAATATATCTTTATCGCACCTCCGGTCATAATTATAAAACCTTATTTATAATCTACAAATAATATCTTATAATTAGAACCGGAAGTAGTATTTTGTTCTTATGTTTGATCTTTATGGTTAGGATGTTTCTCAATTAAGTTCTCTTATTGTTACAATTTTTCTAGTTTTGTGTTGTGACTTAAATATATTTTTAGTCAATTTCATGAGTATAAACTTGATGAGTTAAATCATCCTTCACAACTTTGAGACTGCTTCAAAACACATAGTTTGGTAAGTAATAATATATATCTGACTTCTCAAATGTTATAGTCTCAGTGGCTCCATCTTCGTGACTATAGGGCCGAGGGCTAACCTATTTAAACCTGTGTATTTTTTTAATTATTTGATATATTTTAAAATCATTTTGATAATTATATTTTTTCATTTTTTATTTAGCTAGTATTTGGTTAAAATTATCTTAGTCCCTTATAAATGACATGGTCTAACCTGATGTGAAAATATCAATATATTTATATGATAATGGATATTTTTCTATTAGAATTCAATATAACAATTTGATTTGCTTTATTTTTAGTTATTTAGACCTTAATTTGACACTTTAGTTTGTTAATAGCTATGATTAAATTAAGAAAATGAACTCCTTTAAATTTTAAATGATGATTTGATTTATATTTTATGTGGTATTATCTCTAACAATGAAGATCACATCAATGATGTTGCTATTGTTTAGTATTGAAAAAAAATGAAATTTTGTAAACTGGCCTAAAATTTCGCGCTGCCTGAGCCTCGTACATAAAGGCTGAGTTTTGTAAAATGGCTCCAGCGGCCCGTGAAAGGCCGGCCCATTTCCCAGTCCTCCGGTTAATGCACCTTTACCAGATCTTTCACTTCAGATGGAGGGAGGAAGTGACGGAAGGAGCAGCACAATCCTCTCGGTTACGAGCACCCAAATCCACCTCCTTTGTGGCTTTCCCAGTTCCCACAAAGGAATTTCCGAGAGAAAGGTCAAAGCAGATGAAACGGGTAATATCTCTCCCTGCCCCTTTTGTTAATCCATTTCATGTCGTGCCATAGGCGAGTTTTATTCTAGAACTATGATACCTTTTAAAATGAAAATTCTATTATGAATTTTAGTCCATCCCATGTTGTTCTGATTTTTCATTAAAGTAAATTCATTTCGAGAATGGGATGGTTTAGTATGAATTCTCTTTGTGAATTCTACAGATTCACCTTCGATAGCAATAATATTCTGTTTCCGTAATCCCTGTTGTTGATTGATCTCCATGTCAAAACTTGATCGTCATTTGATGTTTTCGTTTAGGGCATTGGGCTGGTTAAATCTTATTCGTCTCTGAAATTCACATGGGGAAGTGCGTTGTTTAATTGGAGTTGTGGTGATGGAATTCTTCTGCTTAGTCTTAACAGTATGGATTTATTCTGAGGAGTTTGTGTTTGATTCCTTATTCATGGCCAATATTTTCTCACATCTAAGTAGTGAAATATAAGGGTCCGTTATGTGCAAAGTTGTGTTCATTTCTTTTGCATGTGTTTGCTGCTGTTTGAACTGTTAATGATGAATATACGAGGAAGTGTTTTGGTGCATATTGTATTTGGCCCGTGTTAGCCGACTGATAAGTGAGCAAAGTGAGTGTATATAAGACTTAGCCTACTAAGCATTTCAGATGAGAAAGGGATCATAATTTATATAAATTTTACCCCAAGGTCTTGTTCTCTTACATTTTCAAATTTTCTGTTTAGTTCCCAAAAAATCTTGAGGATGGGGGTTTCGTTGGTTACATTCGTTTGGTGATTATTCAAGATAACGGTGATGGATTTTGTTCTGAGTAGTTCATGTTTAAGTTTCCCTTTTTCACTATTATTTTTCATGTGTAAGTGGTGTATTCACTTTCTTATCTTTCTTTGTTTGTTTTTCCCCCCTTCTCTCTTTTGGCCAAATGGAATACATTCCTTAAGAAAGATTAAAACCAGTACATCATAGGCAAAGTAAACATTATCCAAAACCACAAAAGAGATAACAGGCAACACTGATCTATAGGCTCCTCAAACGAGCACAATGCTAGAACTAAAGGGATTGTAGGTTTTACAAGTCAATGATAAAGGCGCAAGCCCAACAACAGCTCCTTAGCACTTTCAAAAGAAGCTAGGTTGCTAAGCTGAGAAACATCTTTGGAAGGAAAATTGCCCTCAAATAAGAAGTTCCACCAAACATAGCACTGCTAAGAATATTTATAAGATGTTTGCTATAAGAGAGAACCAACAGCTTCGTGTCCTCTAGATCTTCAATTGATCAGTTTCTCATTTAGCGGGTCATCCTGTGAAAAGCTGTGTTCGTTTCTTTCGCATGTGTTTGCAGCTGTTACTGTTAAGAATATATGCAAATGTGGTTGGGTCACTCAAATCCAATTGTGCTTTTTCTATGTTAGTCAACTGATAAACAATCTGCTAAAAAAGTTGGGTGCGTGGATGGCTTACTGTCCTGTGCATTTTTGATGATAAAGGAACATAATTTTACTTTGTTTTTTCTTCAAATCTTTATCATGGACTCATTATATACTATATAACTCTGTTGTTCTTGTGCTAGTTCATTACATGAATTAGTGCCCATAATTGTGTAGTATTTTGTTCAACATTTTAGCTTAGGTCTAAACCCAATTTTGCAAACCCGCTTTCTATTGAATGTCTGCTTATCAAACTTCAGTTGTTCCCACACAAGCTGAAGGTCTCTTTTGCTATACTGGATTTTCTAAAATAAATTTTCCCAACGTCATTGTCTGCAACTAATATCCAAACATGAGCATTCTTTTCCTGCAACTTCAGGTGTCGTTGTTTGCAAGCTAACCACAAAGCGGACAGGCCCAACAACAACTCCTTAGCAATTTGGAGAGTGGCTAGGTTGTAAAGCTGAGAAACTTCTTTGGAAGGAGAAATGTCCTCAAACAAGAAGTTCCACCAAACACAGCACTGATGAGGATATTCAGAAGACAAAACCAACACCTTCTTGTCCCCTAGATCTTCAGTCAACCAGTTTCTCATTTAATGGATCATTCTGTGAAAAGCTTTGTTAATTTATTTTGCATGTGTTTGCAGCTGTTTGGACTTTTAAGAATACATGAGAAGATGGTTTGGGTTGCTCAAAATCGCATTGTACGTGGCCTGTGTTAGTCAACTGATAAATAATCTGGTCAGAAAAAGTCAGTGCATACAATGCTTATTGTAAAATGTATTTGAGATGAGAAAGAAATCATAATTTCTCTGATTTACTCTATTTACTCTTCAAATCCCTAACATGGACTCTTTGTATGATGTGTATGTCTGTTATTCTTGCTAATTCATTGCATGGATTAGTGCCCATGATTGTGTAGTATTATGCAAGATATGGTTGAGCATTTTAGGTTTTCTGATTAAGAAATAGATATATCCTATGAGGAAGAGATCCCAAATTGATTGGCAGTGCTGTGCGTTGAAACAGGTCTATGTGGTTTTTCTTTATTTTTATTTTTAATCGTTTTTTGTGTGATCTTTTCTAGGGGCCATTTTGTTTGTGATGTGAGGGTATTACCACTGTACTGCTTTTAAGATAAGTCCAAATGTCCCATCTCCGGTAGCCATTGCAGTAATGACCGGCGATGCTATGATTGGACTTAGAGCAAGATTATTCCATTTCACATCCTGGTAGGAACTGTGGTTCCTATTTTCTTTGGATCCATGGTGTTAATTTCTGGGATTACATATTTCTCTCTGTTTTATTTTTTTAAACGTGGTTTCTATTTAATGGTATACATTACTTGAAGTTTATGAGTACTGAAGTTAAAGTTGGAATTGTTGGTTGAATACCTTGATGTGAATTTCTGGCTTACCGAGGTTACATACTTAATATGCTTTTAAGATGGTTTAGAATTTTTGCAAATGTAGATGGAAAGGATGGATTTAAGGAATATACTGTCCACCTACGATAGAGACTAATCTCTCATGTTGTAGTGAGAGCAAAAGGCAAATCTCTCCCAATTAGGTTACTGTATTGTTCTCGAGGGTTGAAATCGAACCCCCCGACCTCATGATTAAGTGATGAGAGTTCCTACTACTAACGTTAACGTGGCGATAAATGCTACCTGGTTTGCCTAATATAAGACCTAGTAAATTAATTTAAAAAGATTAAAAAAATTACTAAATTATCTAATTGTAGCATATAATATTATATATTGATTTATAAGTGAGACAAATTAGTTGGAAAAAAATGATAATTACAAATACTTTAAAGTAATTTAAAGTAATTGAATAACTTTTTTAATCTTTTCAAATTAGTTAGTTGGGTATGTTATTAAGTAGTATTTTTATTCTTTAGTCTGGTGCAGCTGGGCCGTCCTAAACTTGCACCAAAGACATCCACTGTAAGGTAAATCATCCCACCTACATGGTCTATTTAATCTCCAGAGAGTAAAATTTCTTCCCGAATTGCAGACTACTCGTTTATGAATTTCTTTTCAGAAAAATGTGTCTAATTAAAAAAAATTCTAGTAAATGTTTTAAGTGAGCATGCTTTACACTTCCTTCTGAGTTAAGGTTGCGATTTCAATCCTATTTATAACTTTAGGCCGCTGAGATCTGTCAAAAATATATTTATATTGAAAAAAAAACAAAACATCATGGGAAAGCATTGTGACGCAAATTTTCTCTGTCCCCCTAATTTCGCATAGCCTACCTCACTTTTCCAAGTTTTCACCGCATGACTTCACTTTGCTTAACTATGGACTCACCATGACATTATATCTTGTTTGCTTTGATAATATTATACATACTCTTCTGGTCCTATTATAAGGTATTTTTAACATGTTTTACACATATCAAGAAAAACCTTAAACTTCATTAACTCTCATTTAAAATTTAATACCTTTTCAACTTTATCCCCATTTAATATATATTATACTTCATGTAAACAAAGTTAACACAATAATAAATTAGAGGTAAAATTGTACATCTACACAAAAAATTTCTCTCATTACCCTATAAATAAGACCAAAAAATATCTTCTCCCTCTGTCGTATAAATAGGACCAGAAGAGTACATACATAATTGCGTACGTGAATATTTTCCAATCGTCAAACAACGTGGCGATGAGTCAGCAAGTTTAACTTTTACTTTATTTTTGTGAAACTACAAAAAATTTAATCAATTATTATGCAGCTAGGAACGTTTGTTTCCTGTAAAAAGTAGCATGCCCATGTGATTGTTGAGATTTAATTTAAAATAAGTGGGGTATCTTTCGTGCATTCATAACTCAATAGTTTAACCACAATCTTAAATTGAGAATGTTTTAATTTTATATAAATTTATATTTATATCTTAAATTGACTGATATATATATATATATATATATATGTTTTTATTATAAGTAGTTTTCTAAAATCAAACATAAAGCCGAAGGAGTCTTTTTAAGCTTTAGGGAGACCAAAAGAACATTATTTTCAGACGAAGTTATATTTTTTGCCGACGAATAAGGTATCTTACTTATCTCATATAAATAATAATGGTGTCCAATACCAATACTTTAAAGTCCTTAATATTTTTTACCTTTGATAGTCCTACATACAATTGTCTGTACGAGCATACCGGGGTCGGTAGATAAAGTCCTACCTTTTTCACTAATTGTTTCCAGTTTTTGTTAATTTTCATTACAAATGACACTGTTACTAGAAATTGTCTTTAGTTATTAAAAATGGAAGCATGGATTTAGATGGGTTTAGGTCCATTACACAAAATTTATAGTCTCTAATTTATGATGAAAATTGAAGAATAATTATAAAAATAAAATGTAAAATGAATGAAAATAGGATTCAAAAAATCAATGCAAACATTTGTAATCAACTTCGTCTAATCCTCCATCAACATGTGCCACGTAGCCTCAATTTTTGTAGTTTGTTTACTTTTCATTATCATTTCATATTTATTCTTAAAAACAAAAACTCACCTTAAAAGGAAAAAAATCTATCTTGAAAAATAAAGAGATCTTAAATCACTTTGTAGAATAATTCAAACAACTACTCCCTCCGTTCTTTATTATAAAAGACGAATAACCGAATTACGTTGATAAAAAAAACAGTTAAAATTAGTTAAGAACAATTAATATGTAAAAAGTATAATTTTTTTCCCAAAAATGTTCTCATTAATAAGGAGAGAGAACATGAGAGAGAACACTGGTAATTTATTAAAAGAAAGAGAAGTGGGAGGGAGAGAGAGTGTGAGTTGGAGACAATAAATATGAGTAAAATAGGAAATCAACACAAAAAAGTAAAGACAACTTTTAAGTGTCTCTTATATATAGGAACATGCCATAAGCACCAAATGTCTCTTATAATAAGGAACGGAGGGAGTATATAATTACAAAGACTTGCATCTTTCTAATATCTGGGAAAATAAAGAGATGCCAAATAACAATGAAAACAAAGAGGCCTTGAATCACTTTGTGGAATAATTTAGAGAACTATACATAATTACACAAATTTGTACCATTAAAAAATAAAAAGACCATAAATCATTTTTTGAAATGATAAAAACGAGAAGACTTTTAAATTACTTTGTGAAATAACTCAGAAAATTGTATAATTACATAGACTTGCACCATTTTGAATGTATTGGAAAATGAAGTGACAGGGAATAACTTTCACCCTTTACAATCATGCTATAGATGCATTTCTCTCGTATGAAACATCTTCCACAGGACATGGGTCATCCCTCTTTCTTAACTTGTATAGTTAATGCAACATAGTAATTAATGCAGAAAATAATGACAAAAAATACTTATTAAATTTTAACATGACAAATAAATTATGCTGACTATTCCTTTAATAGTTTTTGCTACTCTTATAATGATTTTAACATGTAAAAATCTATCAAAATCATAATCCTAGTCTTACCATTAGTATTTTCATTGATTTGTATAAAACGCATTAGATCTGTCTTATAAAGATCAAAGAAGCATTTGTCATTTTAAATTTTAGTGAGTATTCTTTTTTTGGGTGATTTTGCCATTATTGTAGATCTCCATGTTTATGGTTCAAACTCATTGTTTATTTACCCTTTTCTCTTTTTATTTTAGTTTAATTTATGCCAGCAATTTTTGTCATTCACGTCCACACAGTCAAGAGTTTCCACTTTCCACCATGCTAGTCAAAGGAGTGAATGTAAGGCCCTACCCAAAAAAAAATTCATGGCAATCGAAGAATTCGATTTGTTATGGCAGAGCAGTACTTTTGACACAATTATTTGTTTTTGTTTTGTCTTATTTGTTGTATTCTCACGTGTCCAATACAAAAAATTTCAGTTTCTTCCCCTCTTGTATCTAGCATAACACTTCGGCCATTGTCAACATTTTTGTCAGAAAAGCAAATCCTCTCACCACTTGTCCTGGGCTTTTGTTAAGCAGTATATGTATATAGTTAAGTATAATATTTGGGTTTCTTGGTCAAAAAAGTACAATATCTTATTACCAAAAAAAAAAGTACAATATTTGCCAAATATTATTTGGTTTCCAAAAATATGATTCTACGTATCTGAAAAATTGAAGAAAAACAGCTGATTTTTCCACAATGATAGGAAGACTTAGAAGAGCCGCCCCGATGCTCTTACCCTTCAAAAGACAGTGCAAATCTCTTATGAACTAATGCAACACTAGAAGAATCCTCTGGCAGCTGAAATAGCCTCCTTTCTGATAAAAGATTGAAAATTCCTACACATTGAGAGGCTTCAAGAACGGAAATGGCAGATTTTTTCACTAAGAGGCGTCCAAATCTAGATGGGCTTTCTCCAAATACACTAAAGGAACAAATGAGAAAGTCCGGCAAAACAGAGAGATCGAATCATTGCCTTCACAGCTTCGTAGTCATATACTGTCAAAAGCTTCCAATTAGATTGGAAGGGGTAGGGTTGTTGCCGTAAAATTGTGTCGACACTCTGAAGTGCTACTTTTTTTGTTTACTTACTGTGATCTGAGACCGAGATATCTGTAAACTGAAAAAAGGTTGGGCAATATGCTAGAGACTTTTAGACAGCATTTCTCATTGTTGGGATGAAGGAAACAAAAATGCAGAAAAACAATATTGACTCAAGCATAGAACCAAAACAAAAGACATATTCTTATTAAAATGAGCAACAAAGAATACAAGACATCAAGTAAGATTTAAGCAGAAAATGACAGTATTAGAAAATAAAATACCCGGAGAAAGCCACCAGTGAAAATAATAAAGCCAATAACCTTGGAATTTAGCTTATTTAAAGCCAATGACCATTAT